GTTTAATTATCTTTTGTGCAGTACTCGTCATCGTGGTCACCAAAAGAATAATTTAAATAAAGTTCATGCAGCAGGTATCGATAATTTACTTGTTTGACGGTTGGAGAATCGGAAACCGAAACATATCTGTTATATACGTCAAGCCTTTGCGTGGCGTATACGACAATGGTATATAGTTAACTATAAATAATAAGCAAATATAGATGTAGATAATAATAAGGAAGAAGGCTTACACAGTATAGTCATCCGGGTACACATATATACATTATACACACATTGTAATATAATATAAAAGAGACACACAATGTTAAGTTGGTTAGTTCTGGGACCAGTACAGCTACCAGCTAACCAATGAACTCCGGAGGACGATACTGTAAGTAGATCTTTTGATATTTAAGTAGTTTATAAGTATTCGTATATAATAAGCGCTGTATGCGTATTGAATGATTATTGTATGTGGAAGGATATTATGTACGTAGTTTAAGAATATTGTGTACTTAATAATTGTTGTGTAATAATAAACATATTCACTTTAGCTTGATATTTGACTTATCTTTCCTGAAGCTCCCGAGTTACGGTTAAAATATAATTCATAGGGCTCTGAAAACCCTCACTGAATTATTTAAATATAACAGGTTCCCCAACCCCGTTACAAGCCTTTGGACTAGGCATCTAAATGCGACATGTAACGAATGTATTACATGCATCTATTTAAAGATTGATGTGGTTTTTATTTTCAGTAAAATAAAAGTAATATTAATAATATCAACCTAATTCCAGAAAGAACTAAGATGCATTTATTACTATTTTTGTACTTTGTAGTCAGGGGTATTATACTAATTACTATTATCAGATTCGAGGCCAAATGTACATCACAAATTCATTATAATTTTTATATTATAGCCTATAGGTATACCTGTTACCTACATATTATTATTTAATACAATGTTTGTTATTACTTATTATCATATTTTAATGTAACTTTAACGGTTGAACATAAAAATAAGACACTGAAAATTAATATTAATTAAATTGCTCTGTTTTTATTCTATTTACTATTAAATTCGATTTTATTATAGGTATTATACTTGAAAAAGTAATATTTCAATAAATACAAATCAAGCTATGTTATAATACAATTTCTTTGATCTATGTATTAGGACATACATTTAGGTAAGCCGTGTCTTAAATTATAATCGGTTCATAGAGTATCATCGAATAGTGAAAATATTATGAATTTTATAATGATATGAAATATGAATCATAGTAGATTAATAAACGGCGCTTCCGAACGAGCACTCGTCGTCGTCGTCGGCCGGTTGCGAGTGGTAGGCGTGACTTAAGCGTCGCGCGCTTGCGGATCGTGAAAACACCTAACAGCGCATCCTCTCGGCCGTTTTAGTGACACGTCCTCTTAAGCCTACCTACATATTATGAAAGAATAAAAACCACCAGACAACATTTAAAAAAAAAACATGAATAAATTAGACAATGTCTAACAGCTGAATTAGACATTAACAAATTAGAATCAAATCATAACTTTTTCAATAAAAAAAAAATCTTTTTTGAATTTTAATTGTTTATTTAGGTATAATTAAAAACAACGGCCAGGTGATGCATAATAATTCGTAATTCATATTTAATAATAATTTAAAAAATCAAAAATAACGTACATATAATATAATATAGTACGTATACTTTTTGTCAGCCCATATTGTATACGGATATACCCATATTGTATATCTAACCTTAGAAGATAAGGTAGGGATCAACTTTCGGTTGCTTACAAAGGTGAATATTTTAGTTGAGTTTTTCGCCTATATTTTATTAAGCTCCTCGAACAGAACTTTGTTAGGTAAACATTTTTAAATATTTTAGAGACAAACGAAAATTAAATATCAAAATAAATAATTATTATTGTGTTTGAAATCTTAATATTATATATATATATAAGAATTTAGACTATAGAGGCATGAATAGATATTCATTTGTATATATACATAGAAATATAAATTATATTAATATTACTGTCAAGAGTTAATAACATTTAGAATTTTGTTTTCACAAACATATTTGTTAGTTTTTAATATAAAAACATACTATTGTAATTGTTGTATAATTTTAAGAATAGTTTCTTTCAACTTCTTTTGTATTTTTGGTCGCAATAAACATTAAAAATTATCTGGGTCTTGTTGCCCCTAAAATGTTGTACTTAAAGCCTAATAGGAAGTAATCTTTGGATAAAACTTTAAAATAATTTCGTTATTTGTGAAAAAAAACATTTTAACTCTAATAATGTAGAACGACAAATGATTAAAAAAGATCACGATGGAAATATTGTATTTCTTTGTGAGTATCAAAATACCAAAATGTCTTCATCATTTTCATATTTTCCAACCTACATAAAAATAGTAAATATTTCAAAAATTGGTATTGATAAATAGATTATTAGCCAGACCACACCGTGTCCCCACCACTACACCTCCTCATGCACCATTACTGCGCTCTCCCACCACTTCGCCGCCGAGGAGGAAGAAAGAATATTTTCAAATTGTACATAATTTAGTTCACAGTTCAAAATATTATAGCATAACATAATATAAATAAGTACATATTTTATGTTTATTACAATTCTTTATGATGATGACTTTTATTTTTAAGTTATGTATATGTTTTGGCATATTAGGTACTCTTAATTATTATTTTATATAGACTGTTATATTACTATAAAAAATTATAATTTTTTTTTTATATACCTAATGTATTATATTAATTTTATACTGTTACTTGATATTCTTCACTGACGGAGTTTACATGAACTCAATTTTAACTGATTTTTTTTCACTGGCAGAACTTCGACTAAAAAATGGTACTCATGAAGGAGTTTGCATAGTATACCCTGATACAAGACGTGTCACTAACAATACTAGCCGTCCGACGGACCAGTTTAGACGTGCTGCTAACAAAAGTATGTCACTCACCGTTCGATGGGTACCTCATTTACCATCTGTCAAGACAGTTCAATACGTGATACTCACAATACAAAGTGACCTCTATTTAACTGTATGTTTTTTAAAATTTAATGTGCCTAACTTCAAAAAAAAATCTTATAAACGTATCGGTTGATTGCTAATCAAGACATCGACATTTAAATAACTTACACTATCAGTGATTGAATTGAATAAAATATAATTATATTTTTTTTACAGAGTAGTTTTTATTTGTTGTGTATTAATTTAGTTTTTATTAACTTATAATGATTCTTATTGTGATTTATAATATTATTATTGTCAGACACGTATCCAGAATTTTATTTTGGGAGCGACTGAATGATTATTTATAAACATCTCCAGACAGTAAAATAAAAAAAACTATATCTGATGTATCATAAAATAATATTTATCACATAGTATATTAGGCACTAAATTACTGTACTAAATAATAAGTTATAAGTGCCTGGCTCGTGAACTATTTGAAAACTTGTTCAAAACTGTATCATCTGTCATAAAAAAATTCTATGAATAATGCTAAGCCAACAAGACGATTCTCCGAAGTTGAATTTCTCAAATATTATGGTTTTAACCTTCGCTAGGTAGGCTATTTACCATAGACACTATAATAATACTTTTGGAGACCCATACACCAAATAAAAAAAAACTGAATAATGGCTAACGTCAAATTATTAATATAATATGGCCATATGGGTTTTTAATATCAGTTATCATCTGAATAAATAAAAACTTTAATATTACGATAGAACTAAGACTCTTCAGTCTTAATCACGGGTGTATATGAATACACAGTTCACAATATGTTTTGTTATAATGTCTATGATGGATTGCACTATAATGAGATGATGTTGCTGAAAGGGTTAAAAATGACAATGATTTAAATGACATTTGCTCATCAAGTTTTCACGAGAACGCGTATAAAAAGCATAATAACTAATAAGCAGTATGCACCTTTAGACACGAAGCAATATTTGTCATATTCCCGTTGTTGGTGTACACAATCGGTGGCCAAGAAAACGAAAACCACGGCCCATTGTTCATCAAATACCCTTAATCCCACCCCAAAACTGGTGCGCACACATGCACTAACATAGCCCAACGATCCCCCGCTCTTCACGTCGGACCCGAGCGGACGCCTGTTTGTCTGCCGATTTTCGGCGGCGCGGTCGGTCAGTCGGTCACAGTATAGCTTGGGAGTATACATTTATTATGTTTACACACGTACACAATGGATTGATAGACCCTCCGAAGCCCTACGGTCATCATTTCACTATAGTCTCCTTTTCGGTTTGGTCGTGTAGCGACAACAACGGGCGCGTCTTGTATGTATTAATATTTCGTGTCGCGACTCTTCTGCATAATACACATTTAAAACAATAATATTTTAAATACGTGCATTATTTCAGTTGTCTCTTATTAATATATACAGTTTTCTGGTGAGCTGAACAGTAAATAGCGCGTCGTACAACTCCGTTCCTAATATATTACCTATGATATCGTAGGTAGTCGTCGATTCAACACATAAGTTTTTTTCTGAAACGACGTCAACAAGCTCAATAATTACGTACACGATACAGTACCACATCAGGTAAGAAACTATTGTTATTTATTTATCATAATGATCACATGATGACTATACCATATGATACAGTGGTAATATTGATTGAAAACTTTTGTATTTAATTTAATGTTTTCTAATTTCTTAGTAGCTTGTTATATTATGAAAATATGTTCAATTGAATTGTAATCAAAGTAAACAGAATATTGTACATCCATAACCTTATACTAGGTCGTTAATACATAACGTAACCACAATAACCTTTAAAAATTATTGATGATACAAAAAATGTTTCTTCAAAGCCGTTTTCAGAAATATAATAATTTTCAATCTGCCTTTTATTACATATAAAATGTATACCAAACCCGACTTAAGCTCCCTAGCCTTCCCTGGATACTCCACTATAACATATCACTGTAACACTATTATTATTGTTTTAAATCGAGTTTTAATTGTAAAATACTTAAATGTTAAACCTATACTGTATTGTTTCCACAAAAGGGTCTTTACCCGTTTATTATACAAATAAAAAATAAAATAAACTGATTTTGTCAATGAGTGCGTTTTCATTAGGTTAAAGAAATTTTATTTTTTGTTGACACTTGCACATCAAGGGAAAGTTATTTTTATATTATATTTATATTATATTTTTTATATTTAACATATATAAAGATTGAAGACATACAAATGAGTAATATGTATGCGTTTTCGCTAGATGTATAAGTACCTAATTAATAGGTATTAAACAATCAATAGGTAATTAATATAATGCTATAATTTTCGAATATTTTAAATACCTACCTATAATTAATAACACATAATGTATAAAAAATAAAAATGCCTCATAAGAATAACTTTCACTCTAACTTCCATAGTATCACATTGCCATACACAAATACAAAATAATAGAATAAGGGCTCTAATAGGTAAAAAAAAATATTTACGAAATTATAAATTATAATTTCTCCCAGAACCCACAGTCCACACCAATAAACATGAATTAGATAAATAACACAATCTTAAATTAAAATACATTAATATTAACTAGTTATATGGTTTAATAAACATTAAGCCTCGTTTAGCAAATTTAGTACCAAAACTGTTTTTTGTGTATTGATAGATAAAAATGTTTGAATTACATATTTTTTATAAACTATTTGAAACCAAAATTTCGACAAAATCCTTGAAAATCACCAACATTTGTAAACTATTTTATAGCTAAAAATTTATAAAGTGTTCAATTTTTATAAGGTTCTTCATAATAGCTGATAATACTGAAACCAAAATGTCTAAAAAAAAAAAATTCAATCCAATCACAATTTTTTTGATAGACAGTTCAATTTTAGATAACATTTTAAGCGATGAAGCAATTTTAGTTATTTTGTTATAATTCTAATTCTAACATACTTTTAGTAGGGATTTGAAACTTTTACGTCGGTAAACTATTATAATATTGTGTATAGAGAATGTTACAATGACATTTTCAAAACATTTTGATTAATTTTAATCTATTGACTTTTTATTCCGAGAACCTATATAATATTCAAACCATTCTATCTATTTAATGTAAATCTATAAATTTATTTCAACATACCCTGTTGGCTATTACTATAATTGTGTTCAGAAAAAATGCGTTCCTGAATACACGTTGATATTTAGTGAATTTCACTCATTTTTTATAAATAAATTATGAACATGAACGAAATTCGTATTTTTAGAAAACCTGAATCTACATAGAAAAAAAATATATAATAATAATTAGTAGGTAGTAGTAATTAATTTCTTCAATAAACGTGAACGGGAACGTGTTCTTCAAAAAAAATAAAAATGTAAACGTAAATTAATTATTTTAACCAGTTTTGAATATAAAATAATATATACCTAGGTAATAAAATTTACCTAATGATATTATGGCTGACAGACACGTCGGACGTCTTAGCTCTGAATCGTTTTTCATATGTACAATTTAATTAAAATTTAACTCACATATTAAAGTGGGTTACTAAATGACGAGGTTCACTCGACACCTATACTACTGTAAATATAGCAGAGTGGTTACCTACTTTCCCTTTTTATTGTTTACATTTTAAATGTAAAGTTAAAATTTGAGGCACGCCCTTCCCCTCTCTTCAAAACCACCACTGACAATAACAAATATATTTTCACTGAATAATAGTATATGAATAAACATTGTTATACACTAGTAAATAATATTGATACATAACAGCTAATAATAACCTAAAAGATGAAATTTACAAGATACCATTTCGGAGGAGTTCAATAACAAATACCGTGACCGGATAATTTAATAAACTCATATAGGTAAAATAGGACGCAAAAAAGAATGTTAATATGGCATAACTGTTTGGAACATAGTTATAACAAATGTGAACCCACTATTTTTTATGGCGTACAGTGTACTCAATAATAAAAAATAAAAAATAATAGAACCATTCATACAATCAACCCCCTGGCCCATTTGAATATTATAATGCTTCTATTGTAAAATTGTAAGATGATTTGAAATGTAATAATTAATGAAAAATTTATGTAGAATTTACTACTTTATTGTATCTAATTGTCTAAATATGATTTATGATAAATAATAAAATATAGATGTGGATTTCTATGTTTTTTATAACCAGTGGTTAATGGTTATATTTAAATTTTAAATAATAATTTTTCAAATGCGTATATATTGTGTATCTTTAATATTTGTATACTTATAAATTGTTTTGAAATTAGATACGATGTTTACTATATTGTTATTGTTGGCTATGCTACACACCGGATTATCGGCCATCGGTGGATACGAAGAAGTGGACAAAAATTTGCTTATGAAACTAGGTAAAATAATACATACAATACATTTATTATTGCAATAATTAATTCAAGCATGATTGAATGGAAATAATTATTTTAAATTGTCGTTTTATTATAAAGGTTTAAGCCAAAGACCTGCGGTAGATGAAAACATAAAGATACCGTCTGTCGCTATGGATCTGTTTAATTCAACATCAGCACAAAAAATGACAACACATTTTCCTCTGTCTGGTTTGCATACAACGTCTGAAAATACTGCAAGGCTTTATAAAAACAAAGGTTCATAATTAAGAAGTTTTGAAATATTGATTTTTAAATTATTATATTTTATTTAAATTGTGTTATATTGTGTATCATATTTTTAATCTTTTCATTCAAATCGAATAGATTCATAATAATTTACATTGAATATTATCCTGAGCTAATATATTTTAGTAGAATAGAGTTGATAAATAATGAGAATAATAATAATTTGTTTTTTTAAATATAATATTTTGTTAATTATTACTATAATATTATAGGGCCGGCTCCAATTAAAGCAAAGTCTAAGAAATATAGACTACAGTTCGATATAGATTCGATACCGAAACAATACCGGGTTAAAGCTGCTGAAGTTCATTTTACAATGAAATACGATCAAATACTACGGAATGGAGAGATAATTCATGTGGTTTTACATGATATAGTAAAACCTGGCGTGAAGGGCCTATCAAAACCTATTCTCAGGTTAGGGTTAGGAACAATTATCATGTATACGTCAGAGGTATTCAACATATTTTATTATTCCTCGGATACTTTTTATGCTTACAACTTTTAGGTGGCTCTCAAATTAATAAGAATACAGAAAGAAAAATATGTTTCATAGTCTGGAGGTAAAGTAAACCATGTCACAAAATAGTAATTTCACAGGAAATCAAATTTTTAAGTGTTCTTTACAGATGAAAATGGACTTGGTTTTATTCCCACCACCTTATTTCCGTTACTTTTAATAGCTGAACATAGTTCCCTATACCATTGTATAGATCAACAAATGTACAACAAGGACATGCAATGATGCAACTAACTACATTTTATCAGAAATGGACATGGTTTTCTTTTCCTCCAGGGTGATTACTTATATTAATACATCATTTATAATATCAAGACAACAGATTTAATAATAATAAATTGTGCATAGAAAACTGAAATTAAATGTCTTATGTTTAGAATAAAATTATATATTTAATTGTCATCATACTTATTTGTATTCAATTTCCGTGAGACAAGCCGTAAAGGCTTCCCTAACAAAATTAATATTCGCGACATTCCTTGGAGCCTTATGACGCACAGTTTGAATACCTCTGATATTGGTCATGGATAAACAATTTATGGAACAAACATTTTTTTAAACTATCATTGAATTCGTTTCAAATTTATTTATAGAATTGTCGGTTCAAAATCGATTAATGTATCAACAATTTCGGAGACCGAAAGTTTTGATGTTACACCATTTATAGAAAGACTGTCGAAGAACAATTTCAAAGAAAACCATGGTATGCTAGTACAATGCGTCACGGAGTCTGGTAGTCACACACATTTGCTGAGCGTGTTTGATTTTGTATCACCTGACAATACATTACTATTTATCTACACCGATGACGGAACAAGTAAGAATAATTCTGTTCTAACTATACTGTTAATTTAAGACAAAATTCGATTTTTACGATGATAAAGTCTAAAAAATTTAGTAACAACCCAAAAAAATATGGAAAACTATTAAAGAAGCAACACATTATTTGAATAATAAAAGTAAAACTTTATATAAAGCAATAAATAATATTTTGTATACAAATGAAATCTATCCTTCAAAAATAGCAGTACACTCTACTGATATTTTTTCTAATATAACCACAAAAAACGCAAATAATTATAATAATAAATCTGAAATTACCCTTTACAATTAACATTTATTAATACCACGCTAATCAATATACATAAGGAAAATAAATATAAATAAAATAAAAAACATAATAGAGTCCCTAATAGGACTAAAGTATAATCGAAATTTTTTTTATTGACGCTACCATACTTTAGTCTCGAAAGTCGTCGATGTTGATTTAAGGTCCATTTTATTTAGGATTTATTCAATTTTCTCTAACTAATTTACCACCTGAACTAAACCGTTGTCGTGTGTGATTTTTTAAATAGTAAATTACGATTGTGTCTAGAATCAATGCATATTTTCTTGATGTTTATACCGCTCCACCGCCATTACAGAAACACGCCCATAATAAGTTTGGTCCTACCGAATCCGTCGAATACAATATTATAGACATTAAACACGAAATATAACAATACTGTTACGTCACAATGTTAATCAATAAAGTAATTATAATTATATTAATAACATTGAATGGTTGTTCAGGCCAGAAGAGCACGCCGGAACAGATGACGCGACGGAGGAAAAGATCGGTTGACCCTCTGACAGTACCGCATAGTAATGCGGAAAGGAAGGTCAAGATCTGCCAGCGGTATCCGATGTACGTAGATTTCAAGGAGATCGGGTTCGACAGTTGGATCGAGGCACCGGGTGGGTACAACGCGTTCTACTGTGAGGGAGTGTGTAAGTTCCCGTTGGCGAGTCACCTCAACGCGTCCAACCACGCGGTAGCGCAGGCGCGGTTAAACGCAATCAATTCGGCATTAGTTCCCCTCGCGTGCTGCGTTCCGACCAAGCTCAGTACGCAGTCGTTGCTTTACAAAGACGACGATGGAAGGTTGGTGATGAAAACCTTCCAAGGGATGACCGTGGACGAATGCGGATGTAGATGAGAGCATGCAACGGCGATGGTATTGAGTGGAAGTTATTAGATTATATTGTCTTAGCTATATAGTCAAATCAGGTATTTTATTATAAATGTCTAGGCAAATATTCGGAGAATTTAATTTGTATGCGATTTTACTAACCGCCGGGACAAATGCCTAGTTATTTAAATAAATGCCCGGACGTTCAACTAAATGCCTATTTCAAACCAAGCAATAATAATAAAAATGAAGCGTATTTGTATTGTTTTTAATATTTTTAATATTTAACCATATTTTCTTATTAGTTATTTATTGCTATTCTATTTGAAAAATTATGTACAATTTATTAATATGTAAATATTTGTAATTTTATGTCTTTGGTTATTATTGTTCTTAAACTTAAATTATAAATAACTTATTTGGAATAATAGTGCGAGCATAAAAAATAAATAAAAAGTTGTTTATTAATTTCAAATTGTTGTTAATATTTAGTTTCTACTAAAAAAAAAGTTTAATAATTAATGTTCCAGCATTTTATGCCACCCAGCAATAACATATAAGTACTTAAGTACAAATAGTAACTAAACATTAACAAAATTAATATTTTATTATAATATAACTTTTTATTTAGCTGAAGGCTACTGTCGTATACTGTAGACAGTCGTCGGTATAATTATTTTACTTAGGTAGGAATATTTTTAGCAATTAAGATATTAGGATAGGTCAAGCCTGGGAAGCTAAATGTGCTGAGGTGACAATAATATTTTGTATATAACGTCGCCGTAAACGCAGGCACGAGAGGTCGGGTCGTCGCTGAGTGTCGCTCCGCGAGGACGTGGGTACGACGACCGTCCGTGTGGCGGTCGTAATACGGGCTAGGCGATCCGAATTAGTTTAAGTGTTTTATTTATGTTAATTTTTAATAAAAAGTGTTTCCGACCCCCAAAAATTATTTGTTCTGTTTGAGTAGCCACGCAATTTGCCATACTCTTTTCTATCAATCTATATCACTCAAAAAGTGCATATACGACAGTGGCGCCCAACGGGGTTCTTATCTACGGTCGGAAACATTTTTTTTTTTTGTTTTGTGTTTGTGCCCTGGTACCTCAACCTTGGCACTTGGCACGTTTAATTTTTGAAGTGTTTATGTACAAGAAGTACAACAGTTTTTTTCGTGTGGTCTGGGTAAAGTTCCCTTGGCACACTATACCTTTTAAGTCGAAGTACGACAATTTGTGTGTGTTTCGGGTGGAGTAACCTGAAGCGCAGAAAATTTTTTGAGTTTTTCGCAAGTTAAGATAAATTAATTTGTTCAAGTGTTTTGGGTGGAGTAACCCAGGACGCGATTTTGTGTATGCGTATACCGAGTGAAGAATACGTACGCGTTCGATTTTTTTTTGGTCTTTCGGAAAAGACAACGCTTGTACCTCGTGAGTACACTAATAATTTTTTTGAATATTTTTTTTGTGCGTGTTTTGGGTGCAGTAGAAGCCCAGGACGCGATTTTGTGTGTGCGTATACCGAGTGAAGAATACGTACGCGTTCGATTTTTTTTGGTCTTTCGGAAAAGACAACACTTGTACTTCGTGAGTACACCAATATTTTTTTTTGAATATTTTTGAAGTGCGACAGTTATATACATTTGGGTAGAATAACCCTGAGCAGTTTTTACTAGCTGAAGTAAAACAATTATTTGTGTGCGCGTGTATACTTATTAATTAACTAATACGCGTTCGATTTTTGTCTTACCGACAAGATAACGTTTGTACCGCATCCGCGTGAGTTCAATTTTGCTAACCGTGCGCCTACACGTATACGCTAAGGTGAGCAACGATTTGAAGGTACATACATATTATTATCAGGATTGTTAAAAACAAATTTATGTGAGATTTATTTTTTTTTTAGTTTAGTTTAATATTTTCATTTTCCTTTGTCTTTCAAAATTATATTTATTTTAAACAAAATATTTTCATTTTTTTTAAATTAAAAATTGAGTAGTTAGTGTTAAGTATAATATATTAATACAAATAAGAGCCCTTTTAATCCAAAATAAATTTCTTTAAAACCAATATACGTTAATATATCTCATTATGTTATTATGAATGACGAATATCATTTAAATTTAAAAATCTCCAAACTAACCGGCATTTATTAATTTATACATATCCAAACAGTTAAAAAATACAGCTGCTGTTGACAATTTGAGATCTAGATTATCAAGATACTATAAAGGAGTTGTAGAATTAGACGATATTGAGGACACTCTAACTGCAGTAGAAAAAATCGCTATTCAAACGAAATCACTTAATAATAAAATTGAGATTAGAGATTAACTAGCAGAATCTAATCTAAGTGATTCTAGTACAGAATCAAATAACGAAAATACAAAAACTTCTGAATCAATCTAAGACGATTTTAGACAAACTAACAACAAGTTATCTATTAATGCAAATAAATTATCTGCCCAAACCGAAATAGTTTTTAAATTATATCAAAATATACTAAATCAAAACATTGTTCACGATTATAATAACATAAATTCAGGTGAAATAATCAATAAAAAGGAAAATATTTACGAAGATATTGAGTTATAATAGAAACAAACAAGATGCAATCGAATTTAAATAACTCCTTTTTCAATAAACCAATAATTGAAATAAAAACACCTGACCAATCACATAAAATTAATAAAAGTAAAATAGTCAACAATAATATGATAATAAAACCAGACAACTTTTCAGGTTAAGGGGACATACAACAATTTTTTAAATAATACTAAAAGGCGGGATTAATAAATAATTAGGACGATAATGACAAAGTTAAGCGTTTATCGATATTTTTAAAAGACACTACAGGTACATATTTAGAATATTTGCAAAATATTAAAACACATTGGACTTGGCTAGAATTAAAGAAAACAAATTAATTTTTAAATGAATTCCAACCGATCGGTTATTCTATCTTATAAAAAAAAAAAAAACCCTATTAAAGAAATAAATCATGACTACGAGGAAATAATAGAGAATATAGTTACGCTTAGTTATTCAAATAAATTAAATGAATTTCAAAATTTTTATTCTGCAACAATGACAGGATAAAGTTCTCATGTTCTCATACTGAAATTGCAGTAAATATTTTTTTTTTCATTACCGGGTAATATTGCAATTGGTCACTGCGTTAGTAAATGTCTCATAATGTCAAAAGGAATCGCGTTACAGTTAAAAAATAAATTCAACCAAGAAAAGAAGACGACCGAAGTAGCATATCTAGAAAACAAAAACCAATGGATTTTGTATCTATTTAAAAAAAAAAAAAAAGTTTTACGAGGAGACTACTTATTTTAACATTTTCAATATGCTTATATATAAATATATAATACATGAAAATTCCGAATATACAAATACCACGATTTACTGGAAATTAATGTAAGTATCCAATTTAAATTTTCCCCCAAGATTTCCTAACACACGTGTACCTAATACCTTTTTTTTTAACAAAAACAATTAAATATAAGTATAATTATAAATATAATTGTAACATTCGTATATATGTATAATATTAATTATTATGTATGTCTGTATGCCACATGTATGTATAATAAAAAAAAAAAATAGAATGTATTTTCAGCATATTCAAAAAAATTCATGAGTCACCGAGTCACCACAATCCACTGAGACAAGGGACGAATTTAATATTTTAAAAGTAGACAATTATAAGCATTAAACTATGACTATAAATATAAAAAGGAAATTAATTTTTCATACAAAAAGACAACATACAAGTAAAGATTTGAAGAGCAAACACATAGATATAAGAGTAAAAATTTCAAAATCAAAATTCCAGAAAAAAAAAAAACCAGCAAGAAATAACCAAACCGATACTTCGGTACCTTATATAAAAAAAAAGAAGAAGAGGAAGCAGAGTAAACCACTACAAAACTAATAAACAAATATATACCATAGATAACAGATTACCCTAAGAGGAACAATAACAAACGTTTACTGCTATTTGTCGAAATAAAAATATTAAAACTTCAAACCGAGAAGAATCTCTCAGAAGACTATTTTCTACTCCAAACAAGGACCAATCAATAGATTTTCATAAAATTATATTCATGTTTTTTTTTTATCATTGGCACATATTTAAAGTTTATTTTTGAAATAGGTAGTAAAATTAAAATTAACATTTAAGCATAATATTGTATAGTTAACGACGCGAATAAGCCGAGACAGTAACTTAGTGATAAAATAAGTTAGTTTTTAACGTAGTATAAGACATTTTTATGTAACAATAGCCTTAAAAAATGAGGGCATTTTTTTCAAAAAACTAAGGGGACTGTCGTATACTGTAGACAGTCGTCGGTATAATTATTTTACTTAGGTAGGAATATTTTTAGCAATTAAGATATTAGGATAGGTCAAGCCTGGGAAGCTAAACGTGCTGAGGCGACAATAATATTTTGTATATAACGTCGCCGTAAACGCAGGCACGAGAGGTCGTCCGTGTGGCGGTCGTAATATGGGCTAGGCGATCCGAATTAGTTTAAGTGTTTTATTTATGTTAATTTTTAATAAAAAGTGTTTCCGACCCCCAAAAATTATTTGTTCTGTTTGAGTAGCCACGCAATTTGCCGTACTCCTTAAAATCTAATCTGTAACCGGTTAATTCATGGTCGTTGAGGATTTAAGGTTTAAACGGTGAATGTAATCTTACATTATTGTATTCTTTCAATCCAAACTGTAACCGGTTAATTTATGGTCTTTTGGTTCCTCAAACGTCGGTAGAGGTACACCACCGAAAAGTGGGTATACGACACTACTAAATTAAAATTTAGTTCTTAAAAACCGTTTACTTTTCATAGTCCAAATATGGACGATGTACATACTCAACATGAAGTAATGTATGTAATATTGTAATATATCTGCAGTATGCATGTGCGAACGTGATTCAAAAGCGTTAGCTCGAATGTTTAAAATAAACCATTTTTTCCATTCTAACTGTGTCGACTGTATATTGCATTATATACTCACATGGTAATACACACATCAGTTTTTTTTTATCAATAACGTGTTGAAAGTAAGTGTAAATAAAAAGTTACAAATAAGCATGATTGTAAAAATCCAGAGCAAATATAATTTAGTTTTAATTTTGAATAACCATGTCTTAGAAATATTTTTATAAAAAACCCCTCTAACACGAATTAATTGCTAGTAAGTAAAGTAATTC